TCATTTCAACCTGAAAAATCCTATGATGCTAATTTTGCAATTTCATAATTTGATTTCTCTTCCAGTTTAATTTTGTACTCCAAAATTACAGAAGTTGAGGGTGAGACGCATCATTGTCAGAAACCTGAAAGATGAATAAAAATGTATGTGGTGAGCCGGGCTCAGTGGCTCAGCCTGTAATCCTGTGCCTTTGGGAGGCTGAGGTGAGTAGATTGCCTGAGCCGGCGGGTTCGAGACCCGCCTGGGCAGGCGAGACCTCATCTCCACAATAAATCAAAAAAGTTAGCCAGGCGTGGTAGCGTGCGCCTGTAGTTCCAGCTACTTGGAAGGCTGAGGCGGAAGGATAGCCAGAGCCCAGCAGGTCGAGGCTGTGGTGGCTGGGAGCGGCCACTGCACTCCAGTCTGGGCAACAGTGAGACTCCAACTCAAAAAAGAAAGTATGTGGTGTCAAGACATGGTTGATACTTTAAGCCATGTGTATCTTCAATCCCTGGAATTCTCATTTCTGGTTAAAGGAGACCTTCATAAAGCTCCCTCTGTGTGAGGGTTTAATTTGGACAAACCACTCACTAGTTAATCAGGAGAACCCTCCCTCACTGATGGGAGGCAAGCAGGATAACCCTGGACTTTCTTCTGCTCTCTGTAACACATCACGCCATCTAGAGAAGAAACTTCAGAGAGGCAGCTGATCTTCTCCACCCTGCATCAAACCAAGGAAAATGGATACAGGAGAATGCAACAAGCTGCCTTATTCAACAGAACAGATCATGGACCTTTCAAAGTCTCAGGGACTTCCCAAAGAATATGTCTTATGATAGATGATTGCTTTTGTCCCTCTTTTCCTTCTTCTCACCCTGCTGGATTCCTCTAGCTTTTACTAGCTAAAACATCACCCTCCAGGGGCAAGCTCTTGCCACTTTCCAAAAAAATTTTTTTTTGTTTTAATCTTTTTGCTTGAATGATTTTCATATGTCAAAAATAATGCATGCTTGTTTAATAACTAAAACAAAAGGAAAGATGGATATACAAAGAAACAATCATCCATACCGAGTAGCCCAACCCCATCCTCTGATTCTGAATGAAAACAGTGTAATAATCAGAGGCATATTCTCCCCCACCTTCCTCCTTGTCACAAAAACATATACAAGCATGTAAATACATACATAGAGGTTTGGCTTGATTGCTTATTAGTTTGGTTGGTTTGGTTTGTTTTTTTTTTTTTTAATAAATGTTATATTCTAGAGCATTTTTAGGTTTACAGAGAAACTAAGAAGAAAGCACTCAGAGTTCTCATACACCCTCTTCCCACCCCCTCCCCCCCGACAGCCTTCCTTACTGTCAACATTCCACATCAAAGTGGTGCACTAAAAATAAATAAATAAATAATTAATTAAAAACAACTATGCAGCCGAGCTTTGGGAGGCCGAGGTGAGCAGATTGCCTGAGCCCATGGGTTCGAGGCCCACCTGGGCAAATTGGCGAGACCTCATCTCTACCATAAATCAAAAAATTAGCCGGGCATGGTAGCGCACGCCTGTAGTTCCAGCTACTGCGAAGGCTGAGGCGGAAGGATCGCCGGAGCCCAGCAGCTTGAGGCTTGCGGTGGCCGGGAGCGGCCACTGCCCTCCAGTCTGGGCGACAGAGTGAGGCTCCAACTCAAAAACAAATAAACAAACAAAAAACCAATAAAAAACAATCAAAACCATGAGGGATTACGAATATTATAATTCTAGTAGTGTTGCTCTGAATAAACATTTTGCACATAATTAATATAGATGGTGCTGATTTCCCAGAACTTTATACATTTGTAAATAAATTGATATAAGGCTGTCATGTGGGAAATGAGAGAAAGAAAACTCAGATTGTCTTGATTTCTCCTTTAAAATTATTGACATTTACAATAACACTTGACCTGTCTGTAGAAGTATTTATATAGCAGTGAGAATAGACAACTTAAAAAATGCAATAGTTACATAACAGTTTAGTTAACCAGTCTAAGGTCATTCAAGTTCTTGGTATTTAACTCCATACTATACTTTCAATTATACCTTCTTTTTAGAATAGGCTGTCAAATTGGGACTACTTGGCATTACCAATATCCTCTATACCTGGCTGAACTGGTGGAGTAGAGAACTCCCATGAGGTGTAATTCAGCAGAAACACAAAACCCTAACTGCCTCAAATGTGTTTCACAAGAGCTGGTCACCACACTGCCCTCCATCACTGGTCCTCGGAGCCTTGCCATTGGTTAGGCATGGGCTTGAGTCATGCACTCCAAATTGTGTGCATTTGATTTGGAATGAGAGGGGTGCATGCCATGGTGCTCTGGCCTTTCCCTATTCACTAGGAGCCTTTGTCAGGCTTTGGAGCTCATTGTCCAGGAGAGATTGAGAAGTCAGTGCCACATGGAAGGAAGCTGCAGTGGAGGAACCCCTGTAATGCAGTGACAGCCCCAAATAATAGCAGAAACAGAGCTGCAGAAAGAAGAAGGCTCCCAGAGTGCCAGGTCCTAGTTGGTGGAGTTCTGGGGAAGGTGTTGGAGAGAGAAAGGTTCCTATCTTTAAAATAAAATGAAGGGTGAAATGGATGGGGAGCAGCAAGAGAAATTTTCATTATTTTTTAGTTTGGCTCTGAATTGAATTTTGAAATAAACAAATCACTAGACCTTTAAATTTATTTAATATTTCTAAATTTATGTTTTTGCTAGAAATAGGTTCAACTTTTATCATGCCACATTTCCTATTTGCAAGGCAGTGGCTTCATTGTGAAACCTCAAACAGAAGAGGATGCCTTCAGTCAGGGGTATTTATTTTATTGATCTGCTTGTATGTAGCATTTCTTTTGTTGCAGACTCTGCTTTAAGCTGTTACCTTACCTCATTAATGTGTTTAACAACTTATGAATTAGGCACTATTATTGTTTCCATGTTGTAGAGGACTTTGCAACCACATGTTATTCTGTTCTACTGCACTCCTGGCGGGAGAGAAAACTAGACTGAGTGGACTGGTTCTTAAATGTGATCTCTAAACAGATGTGCCAGCTAAGTAATTCCTGGAGCTCTTGCTTAAAATGCAAATTCCTAGATTTTACGTCTGGTCTTCTGATTCAGGAAGTCTAGGGGTTTTAAACACCAACCTAGAAGATTTGTCAAGAGCCTCCACCCCTCCTGCAAATCCAGGATTACTTGATTGGGACATCCTCTGATTACCTGAAAATGAATGTGATTCTCGGGAGCAGCAGTAGCTTGTGCTACCACCTCCCATGCATTTTCAAGTCCTTCCAGCTCTGGTGTCTAAGCCACAGTCACTGATGGTGACAAATCTGACCACTCCACCCCCAGCTCCATCTGCTGACAACCAGCAGGCTGCCTTGAATCCTCTGAGCCTCCCACATCCTGCCTGTTCCTTCTGTAAAACTGGAGCCCACAGTTTTCTTAAAGGCCCAAACCATCCTTACTGCAAGTCAAAGTGGACACCTTTATTTCTCCATAATTCACTGATGCTTCCCTTGTTTGCTCTGCCAAAAGCTGTGCAGCTCAAGTGGATTACCCTACCACAGAACATTATTCTCAAATCCCAGTTGAATGGACCCATGGTATAGCAATGTGTGACCTCAAAACTGGAGACAGGATTGAGCCTGGCTTTATTCCTCACTCCCTGCTAACCTCCATTCTATATCTACTTCCAGCATCTTCTTACTTGCGCACCCAGAAGAAACTGGAGGTTCTGGCCAGTCTCTCACCCTTCTCCTTCAGTCATATTTTTATCTCTCTCTAAGTGGCTGAGAGTAGCAATGCTGACTCCCTACACCCAGAGGAATAAGGAGAAATAGCTATTATATCAACTTTGTTCATTTAAACTCGGCTTGATGAGCACACAGACCCCAGAAAATCAACCATTTCATTTCCAACCCTTCACGACCTTAAGAAGACTGAGTCATGCCCCAGAAAATGGAAGCAGAAAAAGAGGAGGCAACTCCTAGATTGCTGTGAGAAATTGGCTTGAGAGGGAAGTAAAATCAAGTCAGAAGACCACTTGGAAAAGTCAAGGCAGAATATTATCAGCGGTGTGTGAAGTACCCATTACCATCCAACAGTGAAAGATGCCAGGAGTATAAAACTGGGCTTCATTTTCTTCTTAGCTCTGCTTTGTGATTTTCAAGAAATCAACTGCTTTCTGTTTGAAAATGGGACATTGTCCTCCTTCTTCGAGCATCACTTGTACCATTTGGGACATGCCCACCATCAGGTTGCTTTGGTTGAACATCTTAAATATTTCATGGAAAATAGAAACTATGTACCACCCCACATAAAACAATAAATCTTCTCCCTATCAGGAGATACAGTAAAAACTTACAACTTCTGTCTTTACTCTAATGTAAAACATTCTAAATGTCACAACAGAAGGGCAAGCAAATTGGAGCCTAATTGACCATCTTGAAACATGTAATAAAATGTACACATCAGTCACACTTCCCAATAGGCATGCTCTTCACTGCTCCCCGAGTGTGCACTGCTAATTCTATGATACAGTAACTATTCATCTGAAATAGATAAGGCAGCCATAGAAGTTCCAAGGTTATCACAGGAGCCATGAATCCTGCTGGATTCCAGTCCTCTAGGTCATGATGCCCTAAGATCTCCTCAGGTGCAGTAGCTACAAATTTAAAATTTTTCAAGGAGAAAGCATTTCTGATTCCTTTTAAACATAGGCTTTGGACCCAAAGAAGTGAGGAATCATCTTCTAACATAGCTTTCTGGGGGACATTTAAATCAAAAGTTGTTGTTTTTTTAAAACCACATCCAAGAAGTGTGGATTTACATATTTTATTAAATGTCTGCCTCAATTTCAGCAGCAGTTTGGCAGAGGTCATCAATTTAGAAATACCAATTTTTGAACTTCCAAAGCAAAACTTAAACTGCTACAGCCTTCATGGCACTGTTAATACAAAAACCAACATGCAAATGAGAGGAGTTTCCTTTCTTTCTCCCATTTTATTACCTTGAGCCCCTTGACTGTAGAAGAATCTTTGCGCTGATTCAACATCCAAGAGTCTATGAGCAGACTCGACATCCAGAAAATAATCCATTTTGGGATAATCCATCCTTGATGTTCCAAACACAGAGTTATGAGAGAAAATGTTCACTTGGACTCCTATAAAGAGGAAAAAAATTCTCAACATTTTAGACTGTCAAGTATAAAGTATGTATATATTTATATACTTTAAAATGTTTTAACGAGAATATCCCATTATAATATCCCACAATTTGACTGACATTTTCAATTCTAAAGCCACCCATTAACATAGCTTTCCTATTGTGTGAGAAAATGCAACATTTAGCTAACATTCATTAAGAGTAATGTATTCCACCCAGGAAAAACAGATGATCTAGGCTAAAGAGAGATAACATACCAATCTTTCCTTGTTCTATAGTAACTGGAAAATACACTGTTAAATTCACATGCAATCTATTCGTTTTCAAAAGATCTGTCTGGATAAATAGCTTCGTTAAGCATCAGCCGTTGTGAGTGTTGATCTTCAACTGATCCTGGGACTTTCGGATTCCCCTGGAGCAGAGAAAATCGCTTGGGAATCTGAGCCTCCAGTTATAGAAGCCTTGCGTTGATGACAACACACTGACATATTTGCTGTAGAAATGCTTTGAAACCCTTCCTTTCCAGCGATTCCGTTCAGCACATTTTATAAAGTGCTACAGGATCGTCACCTGCCTGCACCTGACACAGTCTGTTTTGGGGAGCAGATTGTGGTTTGTAGAGCAGCGGCAATTATCGCAGCATTGCAATGGTCCCTATAACATTATCATATTTTAGCCTGTCAAGAAGCTTACACACTTGATCCAAAACATTCAGCCTGTTGGGTTCTTTCTTCAAGCCATGTAGCCTTTCCCTGATACTTGCACAAATGAAATATCTGTTTCTGCAGGATTTTTTTTTTAAAAAGAATTAACAAGACAAAGTCATTAAAATCAAACACAGAAGGCTAATCCAATTGGTTTCTCTTTCTCACAGTACACATTTTAATTTAAGAAACCAAGTCCGGTAAGAGGAAACTTTAAAAAATACCCAAAGGTACCCCAACAGCAAATATACTTACTGCAAAAAAATCAAGGGCTAAGTGTCGGCAGTAAAACAAGAGCAGTTCTAGCCGGAGTATCTGTGATCTCAATAAATAATCCCAGTGACAGTAAACAATTTTGATTGTTTGATTAGAACAGTGATGAATAATGCATACCATCCACTGGACTTCCTTTTTCAGATAAAATGGCCAGAGAACGTTACCTTAGCAACAGAAGGTGACGCCAGCTTCAGCCTCTCTGCACCCTCCTCTGTGAAGGAAGAAAATTACCAGTTTCCCATGTAAAACTTTGGCAGAAAACCATCAGCATCTACATGTAACCATCATACAGAGCCATTCCCTGCCCCTCACGTCTCTTATGCAGAGAAGTGTCATAGTCATTCAAAAACAGATTTACAGCTTAATAATTTATTTTTATAATCCCTAGTCTCAGTTTGATTTGCAGTTATAACAGGATAGAATATTCAATGATTTAAAAATTAATATAATGAGAAAGTTGCCTAGAAATTATTGGAGGGGACACCTCTTCTCCCCCTAATGCTGGCCTAAAGGTAGCAGGGAAGGGGCCATTTAGGGAAAGGCCATTTTAGCTAGCATATGTCAGACATTCCCTTGTTATAATTAAATACACAGAACAGTCACCGGCATCTAGGCTGAAAATAACTTCCCTTCTGCGAATCAGTTACTGGAAGAAGCTTAAAAAGCTGTCTGAAATTTCCCAGATTCTGAAAGATGAATTATAGCATAGGTCTTTTGGGAGATTTCTACCCCTCCCTGTAAAAAGAAAAGCAAGTCAAAAAAGATACATAAAAGGAAAAGTCGTGAAGTTAGTAGATACTCACCGGTACTTGTTGACCCCTTCAACAGGACATTGTAGATAGAGTGCAAAACGAAGCTAGCAATGCTTCTGAGCCTGCAAGCCCAAATGAACGGCTTTTAATTTTCCCTTCAATCTCAATTCAAGAGCACTGAACAGAGGGAGGTGATGGATTTGCCCGTTTTATACTGTGATGAAATGCAACCCCTAAGAAGAGATCTGAGTGGAGCTGCTCTTTAGAACACATTAGACTGCTAATTTAAGAAAATTGAAAGGTTTTGTTTTACTGTCTTTTATGTGTTCTTTTCTGCTACCCCCTCAATTTAATTTGCATTTAAAATTATTCTCATGTCTCCTCTCTCTCCAAGGTGTGGAGTACTTTCTAATCACAAAGGCTGCTCCGGTAGGGTTTGATGCAACGCCACTTTTATTCTGAGCTGCAAAACAAGGTGGGTAATTAGAACTGGGAGCTGTTTTCTGGAGTGAAATACAGAGGTCACATTTGAGTTCACTCATTCCCTCTTCACTGGCTTTATTTTTCTTCCTCGTCTTCTTCTCCTTGCTTCTGATTACTTGGTCAAATCTCCAGTGCAAATCATGCCAGTCTCCCTAAATGCATTCCTCTCTGTTTGAATGTAACAAAATAATCCCAACAACAAAAGGAAACTTTGGCTAGGCACCTCAGGTTATTCTAGTTTGATATCCACTCTATCAAACCTCAGTAAGGACTTTAGACACAATACTTGGAGATCTGTGGATAAAAGGTGGAATAATAGCCAAATGCAAGTATTTTCCACAACCTCTTGCACCCTTTGTTGCCCAAGCAGAACTGGTGATTAGCATGGTGTGGTGTGCAGCAGGTCTGATTGTTAGGAAAAGCGAAGCCACATTGGAGAAGCCTTGGAAAGACCATTGGACACCCCTCCCTGTATACATGACTCTGTTGACTGCCCTTAAACCTGAAAATCCTCTGCTGTTTGTCTTCTCCCACCCAGTCAGAACAAATCAGACACCAACCTGGTGCTTCAGATAATTAAACCTCCGGAGAGAAAAACCACCAATTGTGTGTCTTTTTAGGAAAGTCAATTTTGGATTCCAAATGTCCAAAGCTTTGCTGAGACCCAAGGACTAACTTCTTTGAGATTACTTTTCCGTTCAACCCCCAGTGGAGACATGCTGAACACTTGACATTTATAAGAGGAGAAAGCTGTCTGCTGGTTCCTTTCACTCACTGTAAGGTGTGGGCGACAGGTTCTGAACTCTCTATTGTAATTCTACTGAAATTGTAATGACTCATAGGTAAGAGAGGGGAGAGGGAGAAAAGTGGGGGGGGGGAGAGAAAGAGAGAGAGAGAGAGAGAGAGAGAGAGAGAGAGAGAGAGAGAGAGAGAGAGAGAGGAGAGATTGCATAAGTCTATTCCTGCTGACCAAGCCTTAGGCAAGCACAAAAGAAAATCCTAAGGGTGGGTTGTGGATTTGGAAGTCAGTCATTTCTAGAGAGTTGACCAAAAAGAAATTTAAAGTATTTTACAAAATGAACAAATAATATGCAAAGTCGCAATTTAAGAACATGCAAGGAACAGGTATATAGATCAATGGAATAGAATTGAGATTCCAGAAGCAATACCTCAATTTCTCAACCAACTCATCTTTGACAAAGCCCCCACCACCTACCACTGGGGAGAGAAGAACCTATTCAGTAAATGGTGCTGGGAAAACTGGCTGACCACATGCAGAAGATTGAAACAGGACCCTTATCTATCCCCATGCACAAAGGTTGACCCCAAATGGATCAGAGACCTAAATGTAAAACCTCAAACCATAAGAACCTTAGAAAAGGAAGGAAATACCCTCATGGAAATAGGATCTGGCATCCAATTCCTGAACAAAACCCGAAACTCACAGGTCATAAGAGAGTAGATAGACAAGTGGGACCTCATTAAACTAACAAGCTTCTGCAAAGCCAAAGAAACCATCAAGAGAGCAGGGAGACAGCCTACAGACTGGGAAAAAGTATTTGCCAACTCTAGGTCTGACAAAGGCTTAACATCCTGGATCTACAAGGAACTGAAACGTACTGAAAAGAAGAAAACAAACAACCCCATTATAAAATGGGCAAAAGATATGAACAGACACTTCACAAAAGAAGACATTCGAGCAGCCAACAAACACATGAAGAAATGCTCAACCTCACTAATCATCAGGGAGATGCAAATCAAAACCACACTGAGATACCACCTAACTCCAGTCAGAATGGCAATTATCAACAACTCAAAAAATAACAGCTGCTGGAGAGGGTGTGGTGAAAAGGGAACACTTCTACACTGTTGGTGGGAGTGTAAACTAGTGCAACCTCTGTGGAAAGCAGTGTGGCGATTCCTAAAAGCTCTAAAAATTGACCTTCCATATGACCCTGCAATCCCCCTACTGGGAATATACCCTGAAGAACACAAATCACTCTATAAAAAAGATACCTGCACACGTATGTTTATCGCAGCATTGTTCACAATAGCAAGAACCTGGAAACAACCATGCTGCCCATCAAAAGAGGACTGGATTAAAAAAATGTGGTACATATACACGATGGAATACTACGCAGCCATAAAAAAGAACAAAA